TTTTTACTTGCCTGGAAATATATCATAGTACTCATGGACCAAATAAATTGAAAGAACACTTATAATTAGGGGCAGACTAGCAGGAGATATGGCCCTCCAAACTTTCTTAAAAAATTTCATTTATATCCTTAAATATTAATTACTTTGTAGGTATTATCCTTAAAATTCATTAAAAATTTCAATTGGCCCCCATTTTTTTTCAAAACACTTATCTATCGACCCAAAATAGAGAATTTGAAATAAATTTAGTTTATGTCTCCTTGAAATTTAGTAATTTTTCAATTTGAACTCTTTTAACTATATTTTTAAAAGCTCAAATTTAAGAATTTTACAATTGATGTATAAAATTTTCTAACTTTACTTACATAGTACAAACCTGACCCCCCAACCTCAAATTTCTAGCTCCGCCCCTACTTATAATTAAGTTAGACTTTCACCTATATTTACATAATCTTCTGGTGCTTGACCATTAGTTGAATTCAATAATTATCTTGAAGGGTTATAATTTAAGTTCATAGAAGAAGGGATTAAACTTTATTAAATCAAATGATCTTGACTATACTTTAATAGTTATTATATTATTTCAATTCATAAAATACATTGTTGTTATAAAATGAAATGGACGGTTGGACACACAATAAATATTTGTAACGAGCATTTTGAAAAGAAAAAAAAAGAAAAAAGAAAAAGAAATGATAGATCCTTAGACCTAATTTGCCGATTTATCCTTCGAATCATTCAGAATCCAAAAAACACACCTTTTTCTCTCTTTTCGATTCTCTCACCACAATCTATACCATCGTTGTCGTCAACTGTACCTTACCTGTAAACCCAAACGAGACGTGAATGCTATGAGAATCAGGGAATGAATGGCGTACCACGCCTGGTTCTTCAAACCGTGTCTGTTCAACCATCAATCGAAGTTACGACGGCGGGAGTGGCTGCAAACCAAAGAGATAAAAAAAAGCCATCAGATCTGAGTACACCAGGTCTAAACTCGGCTCTCCGTCGACTGCGAACCGCTCCAATGACTTCAAAGCTTAGAGCACGTGGTCCAATAACTTGTTTGGGCCATCATCAGCGGTGATAACTAGCTTCTCCATCAACTTCTTCTTAACGAAGCTCTGATCCAGTGCAAGGTTGTTAAAATCGGGATTCTACGCAGTATCGTTTTGGACTTCGTAGAATCAGAATTGTAGAATCGGATCGTGAATCGTAAGATTCTACCAAATTGTAAAAAAATAATTGAAACTAACTTCTTAAACAATAAGATCTGTAAAATATAACAAAAATGAGGCCAAAACACACAATATTAGATATCCATGAGTTCACAAATCTCAAATCCTAACAATATTTCAAAGTTCGAATATAAATAAAAGAGAATGTAGCTCAAAATAACACGAGTTTATAAATCTCAAATCTTAACTCATCCATCTCCAAAGTTAGAAACTAAAATTACATATCAAAAGGAATTTTTTTTATTTTTTTTAACTCTATGCAATTTCCTTTCTTTTTTTTTTTTTTTCGAAAAGTGAAGAAATAAAAAGACCTTTTTGTCCACCAATCCAAGTGTTACAGTGTATGTGACCTTATTAGTCACAAGTATAAAATTAATCAAGAGTTAGCACAACAAAATTAATGAACCACATGTTAACTCGATCTCATTATATTATCAGTTTAGACTACAAGGTTATACCTTGGCTAGCATATCTGGCAAGTCTTTTAAGCTTTTAAATTATTTTTAATTTTTAATATATATGATAAACCTTCAAAAAAAAAAAAAAAAAAATAGTCAAATGAAAATATTGATCATGAAACCAAAATTTGCCTAAACCTGTTAGTCACGAGTATGCATCCTTGAGATATAATTGATCATTTTAATTTTTTATAATTAAACACAAAAATATATTATGGAACATCGACATGCATGGTAAAAATAATTGATATATATACATATATATATTTCTTTTTCTGCCACTAATGAAAAATAATTTATATTTTATAGAATAAATATTTAACTTTGTATATTATACTTGGGTCAGGCCTCTTTTATTTTGTAGCCTAGAAGAAACCAACCAAAAAATGAAAAAAAGCCCAAAAATAAAGGCCCAAACAACCAATTTTGTAGAATCGGTAGAATTGTGTAGAATCGTATGATCCTACCCCGATTCTACGATTCTACTCCCGATTCTACCGATTCTACTCTCGATTCTACTAAATGAGCGATTCTATTACGATTTGACTCGATTTTGAGTTCTGAGTCGTAGAATCGTGCTATTCTACGACTCAGAATCATGATTTTGATAACCATGATCCAGTGAAAGCTTAGCTAATGAAGTCGACTGCAAAGGCAAATGAGATCACTTGGGACTGACACTGTGGTCTTGGGGTTTAAAGCTTCGGATTGAGAAGAACTGGTTGGATATGTTGTGCGGTGTTGTCATCATAGTCAATTTTTTTTTTTTTTTTTTTTTTAAGTATTATAATGTAAGCATAGTCTATTTACTTTAAGAGTGAAGTGGTGAACTGGACCATTTTGGGAAAGTAAAAAATATCTCTCAATGTTGATTTTAGCAATAAAGTTAGAAAGACAATACTTAGGTTCTCCTCTTGGAGGATAAGGTTCATCCTCCGTGTTGATGTGGCCCATATATATATATAAAAAGGTAAAAAGGGTTACAAGCTAGATTAGTAAATTCAGAGAGTCGAAGGCTGGCACTCCAAAATTCACCGGAGACAATTGAGGCATCTATTGTCCAATATAATTTAGACACATATTTAATATTCTAAAATTTCTGAAAATAATTATTACCCATTTTCTTACGGGTTTAAATAGAATCCTAAAGTTTTTTTTTTCTTTTTTTCTTTTTCCATTCAAAAAGAATCACAATTGTTTTTGTACCCAACCTCCATTTGAAATTGAAAATTTACTAAATTAATTTTAAAAATGTACTATATGCAGTGTGGAATAGGGAATGAATAAGAACTTAAAATATTATATGGAAATATGATGTTAACCTATATTTGGTGGAAAATATGAAAAAGAAAGATTAAAAGTTTGTGAATATTATAAATTTCGATTGGTGTAGTTCTGTAGGTTTGTATATTGTTTTACATATTGAATAAATGTTGACTATTTGATTGATGCAGATAGACTCGGGTTTGAGATGGAGGTTGGGTATGGATATTTGCGAGGAGAGAGAGGATGGAGGTTGGGTATGGAGATTTGTGGGGAAAGAGTGGGGGGGAAGGTAGAGAAGAGAGTTGTGCTAAAAGATGGATTCTAAAAAATTTTAATAGGGAAAGAAAAAACCAAATTGGGTTTGAGTTTAACCTATAAGAAGTTGGATAATAACCATTATTAAAAAATTTAAAAATTTGGATATGTATCTAAATTGTATTAGACCACATCAATTGGAATGATAAAGTTTATCCTCCCAAGGAAGGACCCAAGTATTGTAAGTTAGCCTAGTTTTCATGGTCGGAGAGGATCCAGATTCTATTTTCATTAGGTCAAATTCTAGGCTTGTTTACTCTGTTTAAGTGGGTCGGGTGCTTCGCGGTCCGATTTAAAAGTTTAAACTATTAGGTGGGACTAACTCCTAATCCATATATACACATTCACTTTTTTCATCCGGATCCAATCACAACGCCCTCGTTGCGGTCAGGCCACCCTGCCTACCCAGGGTGGCACAACCGGACACATTCGGGCTAGGTGCTTGGCGTGGCATCGTATCAATGACGGGTTTGGCTATGATACCAACTGAAACGAGCTGAGTGCTTCGCGATCCAACCCAAAAGTTTAAATTTTTAGGTGAACCCAACACCCAACCTAGATATACCCATCCATTTTTCAATTCGAGTCCGTTGTGGGACAAGTCCCCCTTGTAACATCTTGTGGACTATGGTAGTTAGTTTTTCATGTTATTTGCAAGTTTCTGGAGGAAGTTCTATTTATAACGTTATCAAAATAACATGAATTATTTAAAAATTTTGTAATATTAAATATATATATATATATATGTATGTATACATATATATTTTCTTCTTTGAGAACTTAACATGTTCACAACCAACCAATTTATTATAAGGAACACAAGAGGTGACACAATTACATAACTAACCCAAAGTTTGAGGCTTAGCACACAAAACAACATAAAAATTATTCGAAATCACACACACATAGACACAAGTTTGTGTTACTTTAACACTTACACCAAGCTTTAAGGACATCGTAGAGCATCCATTATTGTAGTTGCATCGAATGCAAATGCAGTTAAATTATTATAAATATTAAAAGACTAGTAAAGGGTGGACAACGATTTTGATCATTGTCTAAATTTTATCTTCACTTGCCAAGGATGGTACCAAATTGGGGAATGGTGCAACATGAGCTCCAATTGAAGTAAGATAGTCGTGAGACCTTCCATGAAATCCGATGATCATGCCACCAATGGATGGGAATTGAAATTTCTCTCCATCCTCCACGCCAAACGGTCCATACGTTTTTTTGTTGCTTTGAAATCCAAGCGACTGGAACACAACCATGTTTCCTACTTGGCCGTAGTACCCCCAAACTGAAAGCAAAAATTCATCCGAGTCTAGTTTGACCTACATAAGTTACATTGGTAAAAAAGGGGGGATAAGTATATATGCATACCACTCATATTTGCATAAATGAAAGCTTGAGTATTAAAATCTTCAACAAAGAAGAGGAAAATTTTGTTATCATCAAAATGTATCAAATAGCAAATTATAACTAACCAAGTCATTTGTGTCAGATTGATCAAAACCATGCTTGGCATGACAAATATAGTTATGAGTCGTAAATTTGAAATTCAAAATATTACCATGTTTGTTGTTCCGTTGTCGCCACCATGCTTTGTTCCCAATATTGGGTTTCCTTGAATATCATGATTATAGACAACTTGGATGGATTGAATTTCCTCTCCTGAGTATATAGTTAATTCTCTTACCATGTCGTAGGTTCCATCATCCCATTACTGTCCACGAGTAGTTCCAAATGGACCAACACTAATTTGGAATGGCTTAATGTATGCTCTAATCGAATCCAAACGAGCACCATCTCTTCCAAAGAATCCAACAATCTTGCCGGCAGCTAATGGGGTTATAAAATGAGTTCCATTTTCAGTACCATATGGTCCATATTGCTTTATATTGCTTTGCAATGTAAGAGATCTTAGAACAAGAGTGTTATTATCATTATACCCATAGTGCCCTGATATCGAAAGGAGGTACTCAATAGGATAGTCTAATTTTACCTATAAGGTTTCAATGAACAAGGATAAACTTAGGTAATACGACAAATACCAGCAAACCAAAAACACAATAAAAAATAACGAAAGAAAAATATAGCGTTCACATTAAAGATCAGCAAAAAGATTTCACTATGCCAACAAAATAGAGATTACAAGTTTTCAAGCCACCAATCTTGTCTCTCTTACACTATATTTCGTCTTTAATGTTTTCTCTGAACATATTACAAAACTTGACTACAATAGAGACCAGAATAATAATAAAAAATGGGGTCGCAATGGGACTGAATTGGGTTGAAACAATATTTGAATAAAAAATTTACTGGTTTGTATATTAAGATATGTATATATAGTTCTACGCTTCATAATTTGGATTGTGGAGTTCTAAGATGCGTGTATATCATTTATGTGTAGTGACGTGGTTAGGATTTTATTTCAGGCCCCGGCAGAGTGTTGTTTACTTGAAGAAAGTATAAAACTCCTCATGGGGTACTTACATGTGATATTCTCTCCCAGTGAACAACCATGAAAGCCCTCAATATGGCTTTATACACTATAAATATGGAATTTTCAAGGAAAAAAATATATATATAACTGTGCAATCGACGGGAATACCAATGTGTAAAATACCCATGGAATATTATATACTTTCCCGTGTACTTAATAAAAAAAAAATTCAACTAACATGACAAACGAATAAGAATAGTGATAGATTTGATTTCAGTGATGGAGAAATGAAGGGGATTTTTTATAGGGTGGGGGAGCTTCGCGCCCTATTCTTTTTCATTCATTTAATTAGTCTTAATTAATTTAGTGATGCGTTACAGTCTTAATAAAAATAATAACAGAGACAAATCTATTTCAGGGGGGAAGCATATTGGACATGAAAAAGTAATTTTTCTTCAATTAACAGTGGAACAAGAAAGTAATATGAAAAATAAAAGTGCAGTAATGGTGCATTAGTCAACATTAAAATAATATCTCTATTCGTAAAACAAATATAGTAAAGAAAATTTTAAAAATATATACATGTTGAATTCATAAAATTACAGTAATAAATTTATGGGTAAAGCGCAAAAAATCCCTACTATATACAAAATATGCAAAAAACATCCATGCCATTTAGTATGAGCATATAAGTACTTATAATTTGAAATTTTGCAGTAAATTGCCCCCATTGTCAATTATGACCATTTTTTTTATTTATAAAAACTCCAAAATATTCTTGAGTGCATTTGAGATATTCCAGTATTCAATTTTTTATAAACATTTCAAAACCTTTGTAAGAACCCCAAAATACCCCCAAACCCCATTTTTTTCTTTTTCTTCTTTTATAAAAATCCAAAATTTTGAAATCATAGATTTTTTTTTTTATTTTTTTTAGGGCATTTAGATATTTTAGTCTTCAAATTGAAAAATTGTCCTTATTTGCTCAATTTTTAAAAATGTAGAGGTTCTTTGAACACTAGAAGGTATTTGCACATTATGCATATAGTCGAGTTTTTTTTTGGCACCTGCTTTACCCAATATATATTTTTGAGATGTTATGCCGTTTAAGCTAGATAGATTTCATGAAAAATTAGAGGCATGACAAATATAGAATTAAATAAATTTGTACAACAATCACAAATTTGAAAATCAAATTGTATATATATATATATATATATATATATATATATATATAGATATATATATTACCGTGTTTGGTTGTCCACTGTCACCACCATGCTTTTTCCTGGATACTGGCTTTCCTTCAATATCATCGTTGACAACTTGAATGAAATTAATATCATATCCAGAGTATATAGTTAGTTCCCTTACTGTGTTGTAGGTTTCGTCATCCCACTGCTGTCCACCGGCACCTCCAAATGGACCAAGAGGTGTTGTGGAGTCAATTTTCGTTGAATGGCTTAATGTATACTCCAATGGAATCCAAACAAGTACCATACCTTTCAAAGAATCCAACAATCTTGCCAGCACCTAACAGGGTTCTAAAATAAGGTCCTTCTTCCTTGCCATATGGTCCATATTTCTTCATATTACTTTCTATTTTAAGAGATTTCACAACAAGATATTATACTCCCTGTTTTGACACCCAAATACTGCTATACCCTGATATTGAAATGAGGTACTCTGTAGGATAATTTAATTTCACCTATAACATTTTAATTAACCACGATAAACTTAAGTATTACGAAAAATACTGACAAACCACAAACAGAATAAAATAATGGCAAAATTAAAACAAAATTTTAAAACTTACATGAAATATATTGAGTTGTTCAAATAAAAAAGACAAAAATAAAAATTAATTAATTATAAAATTAAAGTCATTGTAAAATAATATTCTAATCAAAGAGTTGTATAAGAAAGATAAATATTTGACAAATGTAAAAACCAAAGTATTGATTTGTAATACTTCCTTGAGCCAACATTAGTTCTGTCTCTGTTCATATATGATGTGATTTGGATCTTGTCTTTACGACAGTACATATAATCATGTATGTTAAACAATTAGAATTTCCAAACGTGGTGTAGTCCTTATTTATTTATATTTTTTTTAGATGTTATGTTGTCAAGCTAGCTAGTTTTCACAAAATATTAGAGGCACGACAAATACAGAATCATATAAATTTTTGCCTGAGTCGCAAATTACAAATCTATATATATATATATATACTAGATAGAACCACGTGCGATGCACGTGATTATAACTTAATCATATTTTGAGATATAATAAAATAGTAGAAAAATCTATAATGGAATTAAAATAATTGAATAAAAGTAGTAAATTAATTTGGTTAATTCAAAATTTTAAGTTATCATTCAATCATTCGTTCGAGTACTATTTGACTATTAATCTCAAAGATAAATAAGGGTTTAAAACTCACTAATTCAATCCTCTTCATACTTTTCATCATCTTCAAAATCTCTTTATGCAAAATTTTATGGAAAACCCAATGTTCTTGCGGTATTTATTATCGAACAATTAAAGAATATAATTTTATTTCGCAAAGCAATGAAAAAAACTATTGAATCAGCTCTACAAGAAATTTATTATATAAAATCATATGATGTATTAGAATATAACAATAACGTTTATAAACACTACATTATGACCAAACATTACTTGCAATAAAAATTTAATAATTATACCTATATGTCATATATCTATTTTGTTTTTTTAATATATGACTGAATATACATGATAACATATTATGTATATAGAGACCTATAAAGTTGTTCAAACAAAGTTGAAATTTATTTTTCAAACCGTTGAAATTCATTGAGAGTACGTATGTAAGAGGGTAGTAGATTTATGTCAAAATATATATATATATATGAAAGATAAATGAAAGGTTAAAAATAAATGAAAGATATTATATAAAGTAAGTATTACAATTTATTCATATATAGAATCTATAACTGTCAACCATCTCGTTTCTCTAAAAATGTTTGCTATTAAAAGTGTTTCTAAATTCATAAAAGGTATAAGATGCACTTATTTATTTCACTTAGTGTAATGAAAAATAAAACTCCATGTTTCACTTTCACAACACTTTTCTTTTTATCCAATATCTTTTTCCAACGCTCTAAATAAACACTTTTAATAAGTTTTTCTAAACACCTCTGCATTCTTATCCTAAATCTCCAACGAACGTACTTCCAAAAATCTTTTCCAAATATAAAGACATTATATAACAGAATCATAAATATTTTGGAAAGAATTAGGCAAAGTAGAGAACTATATAACATAATCATAAATATTTTGGAAAGAATTAGGCAAAGTAGAGAACGTATATGAAAGAATAATATTTCCTAGAGAATTAAACAAAAAAGGAGTACAGAATTAGACAGAAAATCAACATGAAAAAATAAACACATTGTTATAACATAATATAAATAGTATAAATAAAACATTATAAAATAATAATAATCCAGTAAAATATCAATTAATAAAAGCATATTAGAATGAGACAGTAAGAAACTTATTTTGGCCTCTTGGAGAGTCAGGAGACTGAGGACAATTGTGACGTTGAATGACATTTATCAACTCTTTCATTTACATGTTGATCATAAATTCAAGATATATATACATATATGTATCATGATATAGTATATTGGATGGACAAAAGAAGAAAGATTAGGAAAGAAACAAAGAGGAACGTGTAAAACATATATTGTTTTTATTGGACTACTATTTTATTTATAGGCTACAACACACCTATTCATGAAATGATAGATCTGTTCAGCTATAAAAAGTTTTTTACCATTAACTTTCTTCATAACCATTCATGTTTATTTTTTTCCTAAATAACCATTCATATTTCAGTACACAAAGAGTAAATTAGGTAATTGAAATATTTCACATATCTTTTTAATTAAAAAAAATATATTATACATAGAGAGGTGATATGTTTTAACTGGACAGAAAGTCTTTATGAAAAAAAAAAGTGTTTAATAGGAATAAGTGTGTGAATTTAAAAGAAACTATTTTCTAAAAGAAAATAACTTGATAGGCAAAATATATAAAATAGAAAAGGTGTCTGGAGAGAGAGAGTGTGTGTGTGTTTTTTTTCCGCTTTACAAACAGGTGCCAGTAGTCAAGGTAACTTTTCAAAAAAATTATTTTTCATATTAAAAATCTATCTAAAGGTGTAAAAGTCTATTGGCATGAATTATTATTTTTTATTAAAAAAAATAAATAGAGAGGTGATATATTTTAACCGCACAGAAACTCTTTGATCATGAAAAAAAAGGTGTTTAATATGAATAAGTGTGTGAATTTAAAAGAAACTCTTTTCTAAAAGAAGACAACTTGATAATCAAAATATATAAAATAGAATATTATCTAGAGAGTGTGTATTTTATTTTTATTTTTCGCTTTGCAAAGAGGTGCTAGTAGTTAAGTAACTTTCCAAAAAAAAAAAATCATATTAAAAATCTAGCTAAAGGTGTAAAAGTGTATTGGCATGAAATATCAAAAAGCGTTAAAATCCTAAAGGTACAACGTTTAAGAATCAAAAGGTGTGTAACAACGAAAATTAGAAACTTGAAAAACACAATGTAAATTGAAAACTTGAAAAGTCACGTAATAATATTTTTTAACTAATTAGTTAAGAGTTTTAAAATGTATATATAGACCTTTTGATTGGGTGAGTTAAAATCGAAAGAGGATTTTTTGGTAACCCTTATTTTTTTTTATTTTTCTTTATATCAATAACTTAAACAAAATGCAATTATCTCCAAAAACAAAACCTCTGTTTTGCTTAATATTTTTAGTTTAATCTGTATGTGTAAGAGTGTATTGATAAATAATATAAAAAAGGTTGAAATCCTATACGGTGCAACTTTTAGGAATTAAAAAGTGTATAATGTAAATTGCAAAGTTGAAAAGTCAAGTCATAATATTTTTTACATTAAATTAAGTGTTTTAAAATGTATATAAATATTATAAATTGAATACACTTTTATAGGGTATATATATATATATATATATATTACCGTGTCTTGTGTTCCGGTGCCATCACCTTCACCATGCTTTTCTCTGGATACTTGTTTTCCTTTCATATCATAGACAATTTCGAGGGAATAAATTGTCTCTCCGGAGTTTATACTTAATTCCCACTGTGCTATAGGTTCCTTCATCCCATTGACGTTCATAAAAGCCATATGGCCCGAAAGCAATTGTCAGCCCATTTGCCATGGAGTCCTTAAAGCTCTAGAAACGTACAGTACTTCAAGTTTGCATGAGAAAGTAATTAGATCAAAAAGTGTTATATATATATATGTGTGTGTGTGTGTGTATTATATGTGTGCAAGTATGCAATTCAAATTACCCAAAACAAAGAGAGTATGCAATTCAAGAAAAAGTAGAAAGGAAAAATTCTTTGTTGCGGAATATTAAACCTTTAATTAATTAACGAACTATTGAAAGTATTTAAGCAATTGTCAGCCCATTGTGAGACGGGGTGCGGACACTAACTCACATTCGGCATTTGGACTTTAGTCAGTATATCATTGTTGGTACTAAAAGGAATTTTCCGTGCGTCGTGTGTGTGTGTATATATATATATATTTGGAAAGTTTAACCAACCACATACTCAGTACCCACGACATGTTCCTAGTAAAACTCGAATTCTCAGCTTCCCCTCTAAAGAGGAAATCGAAATCATACCATTGGACTGAAGGTCCTTTTGTAACCTTTTACTCCATATGTGTGTGTGTGTATATATATATACGCATATACATACATCTATTCATGTATGTATATTTCAAAAGTATAATTCAGAGGCCATTACTTAAAAACTCAGTGAAGATGATTAGAGGCGAACCCAGAAAATTAGGCAGTGGGATTTTTTGGTAATTTCAATGGGGACAATTTCAAAATCTTATGGGTATATATATATATATATATATATATATATATATATATATATATATAATTCAGAGCCATAATACAAAAGAAATAAATAAATAAATAAATAAAAATCAGTGGGGCTGATGCTCCCACTGACACTGAGCCCTCGATAAATCCGTGAAGATGATGTTAGTTAACTTGTCTTTTTTTTTTTTTTTAAACAAACAATACATCTGAACCCTTTACCTTATAATTTCTTTTGTCACATTGAACGCACACAATTATATATGATACAATTGTGTTAGTAGGTCATTAGACTCCATACTTATTTATTGGAGGGTTGTCTCCATAAGTTTAATCAAATAATAATCCTTGGGAGCTTTACGCTAACATTTTCGAGAATGACACTTAAGAATAGTATAAATTATGTTATGGGATACATGTTAATGACGACAACAACTCAAGAATAGCAAAGAAGGAGAAATTATTATTATTATTTTATTGATAATTGAATATGAAGAACAGTTGTTTTCTTATTTCTGGCTATAAAATTGCGGTTGATATGTAAATTTTTGAGGATCAATAG